GGAGTAGTATAATCTACTACATGAAAAGTAAGAGGGGAAGAGTCTGCCATTTAAATTGTCCTGCTGTGGCAAGAAAATAAAATTAAAAATACTTATTTTCTACCTTCTCTTAAAATATAGATCTATTAACATATCAAAGTACAAATTTCTCATAAATGTGATAAGCTTACTGAGTAGATAAGGTACTTGATATGAGTGATTGATTTCTCCCATCTCTACCTTTAGACTTAACTTGTGCTTAAGTTTCTGATATCAGTAGAGTCATGGTGAACTTTTTTCAGACATTTAGAGGTGTCAGAAGATTTTTAGTTTGGTCTCGAGTAAAGAATGACTGCTGTGCTCTTAGTGCGCAGTGTGCTTCAGTACTGCCTAGCTTCTCATTACCAGCGTGTTTATTGGTAGTGGGGAAGCATATAGAAGCACATCGCTCGTAATTTTTCAAGTTTCTGCTAACGGCCTGTAAGAAGGAAAATGATTATTCACTTGGATAAGCAGTAAAATTGCCATTATGATTTGCTAACTTGCCTTGAATGAGTTAAAAACTTGGGGGGAAATTACCAAATTCTGTTTAAAATGAATGTATTTACTTGACAGAATGCATTTATTTTGGGCAGTTACTGGATTAGTATATAGTGCTTCACTAATGTCTATTTGAATGCGTAACATGAATAAATTTCTGTATTAGTCTTGGAACATAAAATAATGCTGTTGACATACTGTAAGCTAGTCATAGTTACAGAGATTAAACACAGGGAATAAGACACTGTGTATAAAATCCATTTACAGCACTTTGGATTTCTGCTCAGACATGTAAAGAGCTCAGAATTAATCACTCCTGTCCTCACAGTCTGAAAAAAAAAACCCGAGCAAACTGAAGACCAATAACTCTTCTTAGCTTTATCAGAGAATTGATGTCACAGAGCAAATTGACAGTGATGCCCTGAAAAATGGGGAGACAGGCAAATACAGAGAATCATGGTTACTAAAAACAGACTCCCTGGAGGCAGGAAAGGGTAGGAAACTTAACCTGTAGTTCACAAACCATGGAGGCTCTGTGTGGACTAGCTTGGGAGTTACAAGCTCCTGGGGGCCCAGTTTTAGGGCTCCCACCCCTACTTTTGTGAATTTTACCTCTAGGAGCCCCACCAAGTTCTCACAGTGAA